AGCTCTGATGTTCCTGCATTGCTCACTAATGCCACTGTGCAATGGCACTGATGCTTTGCTAACACACTGTAAGGTCACCACACCTGTCACTAAAGGTAGCCCTGAAAGCTCAGCACACTGCAACTTAAAGGTCCAGTTGTGTAACATTCATGAGGGATCTATTGGCAAGAAATGAATTTAATATTAATAGGTATGTTTTCATTAGTATATAATCTCCTGAAAATTAGGAAGTTACCTTAGAATGAGCTGTTTCTTTCCACAGAGGGAGCAGGTTCTCTTCCGTGGAGTCCGCCATGTTTCTACAGTAACCTAAAATGGACAAATTGAACACTGGCTCTAGACAGACTTTCCGTGTTTTTCAGTAGTTTGGCAGCCACCCTGTTTTATCCTACATGCAATGTTGTAATCTGCAACTTCACCACTAGATGTCACTAATACTACACACATGCAACAGACAAAACCAAAACAAATTATTGAAACACCCTCAAAGATTTAAGAACACATGTGCAGCATTTAGACAAATGCATGTTAGAAAAGTAAAAAAAATGTGAAGTTAGAAAACATAACCAGACAAAGAAATACAGAATCGCTGCAAATAGCAAAGACAGCAACTGACATATTTTTGCAGCATGTTTTTATATTTGGTTGTGTTTTCTGTATTGTGTTTTCTGTATTATGAAATTGGTGTATTTTCTGATTTCACATAAATTTAGTTCATGGTCCCAGTTGTTAGTTTCAAGCATGATGTTCTTTTGTAAATGATCATCAATCATTTTAGTAAAATAGACGATAAACCAGAGTATGCTTTAGGGTCTGGCTCTCTTGTGATTGACAAGTCGCTACCACAGCAACCTTTATCAAGATAGAGGCCTAGCAATGCCTATCTGTGGCAGTTCCACCCTCTTGTCCAAATATGGTTACTTCTAGTTCCAAAAAAACAATATGGTGACGCCTATAATGCCAAACTCGAGGCTTCAAAACACAAGTCCACAAACCAATGGGTGGTTATATCCATTACTTTATATATGTCCGTAGGCTTCCAGTCTGATTTAATCTGATCTTATTTTAAATGATTTGAATAAGATCTCTGCTGCACCTGTATGACTTGTTTACCAAAAAGTGTACCTGTTTTTTTCCCTCTGGCCTGAAATGTAAAATGTAATTTAGTAATTAATTTAGTAATCCACCCATGTTAAAAGTACATCAATGTTGTAATCCATCATCGCCATAGTAACACTGACAAAAATAAACCGTGTTGACGTATTTTTAAAGGGCAGAATAGGCAGAATGAAAAAAGGGCATTATGGAGGACTGAAATAAAAACTTGTGCTGTGTTATTTTGTGTCAGAGGTGGACAAACAGACAGTTAAATGTCAACTGTACCAGAAACTATATCAACAATTTTAGAAACAAGATTTATGATGAAATTACAATATGGACAACATACAACAAAAGTGTACGTAAAAAACTAGAAGATAATATTGAGATACCTGATGTAATTAAGTGGAACTTAGAACTAGGTGAACAGTTAAAAGAAGAAGACTAGAAAAACACATATAAAGTCATACATAAAACAAATTCTATATTATGGTATTATATAGGTATTAGAGGAGTATTCATGGAAAATATACATAAGATTCTTCATCAAGCCAAAAATACAAACAACATTTACCTCTATTATGAAAATGTTCCAAATTAAACACATATTTGAACTGTAATGTATTATTTTAAACATACCAGTATGTGAACTCAAGAATGGGAGAACTTATACAGGATACTTAGGATTGCGATTATGAAACCGATAACCAGGGACTGGTTAAAACCTCCTCCACCGTCATTTAACAACTCAAAGTCAAACGTTTAAACAACATAACAACATTTTTAAAAAAAGGAAATAATAATTTATACAATATATCATGAACATGAATGTTTAATACTGTGGAATAAATGGATTAAATATGTGGATAACAAACACATTTTTTTGTAAACGCTTGCACTCTTGCAATTAAGAGAAACGAAAAGCTGCTAGAGCTGATCCCTTTCAGGACAAACTCAGTGATTTTTAACATCCAGTCATTCTTTAGCCATGACTTACAGTTCTGTGCTTCTATATTGTATGTGTCACCACTCACTGCTGCTTACAAAGATACTATTTTGCACGATGAATAAACAATGCATCAAATGTGCCACTGCATTTGTTCAAATGATAATAATAAAACAGTTAAAAAGCAGTCAGCTATAATATAAGAGCAATCTGAACTTCTTGCTCAACAAATGCTGTGCAGAAGAGAATCAGAAATACCTAAAGACTGTCAAACAGTAATGTACAGTAGCCTATATTACAATATACATATTCTTTATCTATATTAATATATATTAATCATGACTCCGCTTTCACTGTCTTCCTTAGCACATGGAGTTTGTGCTTGTCATCGCCTGACCAACCTGTTAACAGGTTGTCGTATATGGAGGGGAGACTTTAAACCCTGTCCCTGTTAAGTCTCTGCTGGCTGATCTGAATAGCATCTTTCGCTAGTTGTCAACTGTCTTCTGGTCAATGACCAGTTGATATGAATCTTGAGCTAAGAGACAATTAGCTTAGCTTAGCATAAAGAAGGGAAATGGCTAGCCTGCCTTAAAAATCTGCTGAAAATAGACATTCAAAACAAAAAAAATTACACTTTGGTTTTGGGTTTTGATTTTTGTACTAATTTAACTCAACTTGCCTTGCCTGGGGCCCACTTTTGAAAAGTGACAGGAGGACAGGGGCCAATTTATAAACAAATAATTCATTAACAATATTTATCAGAGGAAAAGGAGCAGGAATAAACATTAGGATCATCTCTTTTCTTGCGGTGCTACCAGGCTTATACTGCACTGAAGCTAGCATGTTTTTCAAGCTTGTATACAGCAATTGTGATTTGGAAAATTAAACACAGTGGTTTAGGATTGGTAGGAGGTGGCAAAACAAAGGTAAATTCGGACATTAAGTTGAGTATCATGGCATTAAACAAACAGTGTAATATAGAGTGAGCTTTAGAGCTGCTGCCAGGTGCATTAGCTTTGGAGAGAGCCAAGCTAGCAGGCATTGTTTCCAGTCTTTATGCTAAGCTAATCATCTCCTGGCTCCGGTTTCATATTTAACAGCCATAGTATAAATCTTGTCATGTAACTATTAGCAAGGAAGCGAACATGTCTAAACTATTCCTTCAACAATGTCACTCATTAATAATGACTTCCAGTGTGGTTTGCATGCTTTATAACTGGAGCATGATACGTCCACCCACGTTGATAATGGAAGGTTCATATTTTACTCTACTTAAACATCAGCTGACTGGGTTGGGGCATTTTCCTCATCCTCCTCAAGAAGCTTTGTCTCCTCTGCAGGTTGGTCAGGTTTGCTGGCAGCCTCTGACTGGTTGACTGTCCCGTTGGTGGGGGTAGGGGTTATCTCAGTAGGGGTGTCAGCCTGAGTAGCAGCTTCCTCCTCCTGTTCTTGATAATACTCAAGCGTTTTCCTCTTAAAGCAACCCAACTTGAGACAGACAAGAAAAATGATTAGATCACCACCCCACTGAGACACATTTTACAGCTGAAATGCATTATTGTTATGTTTTTAATTCAGTAATTAACATTCAAGCAACAGCTCTGCATATGAAGATAGACGTCTGTATTGTATTTCATGTGGTGGGATAGTGGTTTGGAATTAAACTCTTCAATTTGAAAACTGACTCTCACCTTAAACATGATGATTGTGATTATGATCAGAAGCAACAGTCCCAATACAACACCAGTTAAAATGATCAGCAGTTTATCCGGGGGTATTACAAACTCAACTCGAACTTCTACCTGTTGGCAGAGGAAAATAAAGTTTTATGGAACCTTATTTGAATGATCTAAAATGTCTTGTAGATAAAAATGTTTTGGCTGCCAGACTGAGAGAGTGTACCGATTTCATTACTGGATTGTTGTCTTTCCTCATGGCAGCAGGTTTCTCCTGTTTAAAACCATTTTTATTCTGTGGTTAATTAATATGATAAATTACAGAAAAGCATTCAAAATCTTTGAAATGGCATTACTGTGGTCAAACTTCAACATACCTCTTGTTTATGAGAATCCAGCACGTATCGTTGATTGTCATACCTAACTTGCATAAAGCTTTTAAATTTAACATCTGCACTGTCTCCAGTATATCGTTTAAAAAAGGCAATATTCTGCAAAGCAAGAGCATGTTGATTAATAATATATTCACCACTTTCAATGGTAGGTCTCCTTTATATGTGGTGTGTATCCTGTCTGTGTGTTTGTGTGTACATACCTCTGCGTGATGTTTGAGATCCTTAAATTGTACATCTCCTGACAATCGAAACTCAGTTGCTGATTCTTTGTCCAGGATGAAACTGTTACAAACTATGCTTTTGCAGTGTGTATCTGGTGAGCAGTGCTGTAACACAGCGACAGTTCATTTTATTAAAGGGGTTTGTAATTTCAAGACATGAACAGTTAAAATATTTTGATACTAAATATGTTTGACTTACTTCAGACTTCGTGTCAATCATGCCTGTGCATTGAGTTTTGTTCTTAAAAAAGAAAAGTAATTGGTACGCATTAAGGATTTATAATTCTATTCACAGCAGCAGCAGCATAATAAGTGTAAGTAGTGTTCTGGCAGTCACCAAGTTACCTCCTTGACAAAGACTTGAGAGTTCTCGATTTCAAAGTTATGTTCCAGTTTAGCTGGGAAGATTAGGGACACATTCACAGGAAAAGACTTCCAACCAGGATTAGATATCTGCCAATAGTGAGAGACAGTTGGTCAATTTTAAAAGAACAGATCGACATTTAGCAGTGCCTCAATTGGACCAAAAAAGGTGCCAGTACCTTAATTCAGCACCACCCTAACTCTAAAGACAACATAATTCTAATTCTTTTGCCATTTTTTAAATCAATTTTAACAAAGACATGTTCTTTCTTTTCTTGTCTTTCTGTCTCATAAAGACAAAGAAGGGTACATTGCGCTTCTGTATGAGACATCAAGGGGTATGACAAAGCAGACAGCCAAAGTTTGTGACTAGCTAGTGAACACAGTGAAGTCTTTAGCAACTGAAGAGCCAGACAATTCACCTTATCAAAGCCCAAACCAGAGAAAAATAGTGATAGTGATAAAAATGTGTCAGGTGACCAGAAACACGACTCCAAATGAATGCTAATGTTGCCCTTTGTCTGCTTGATGTACAAACAGGCAACTGTTTGCTAAAAAGTTCGTCTTTATAACGTCTTTATCAGGACATAATCTGTCAGTGTTGTGTGTGGGCTGCTTGTTCAGCTGCCCCAAAGCAGCCAAAAAGTTCCCAAATTGCAGCTTAATTAGTACTTAATGATCAGATCAAGTTTGCTATTGGAGTGGAAGGTTGCTTCTTGTTGTAATTTACGGCCTCACCTCATATATAGCAACCAATTTCTTAGGTGCAGTATCCTCTGTTGTGAAGTTCAGATAGGTGGTGGTGTCTTCTTTCCTGAAAAGAATACAGGATGATCACAATATGCAGGCATCTGTGGGATGATTATTAATTACTAGTCACATATAAGAACTACAGTTACAAAATACTATTTATGCGAGTAGCGCCACTTACACTGTTACTACCATTTTAATTGCAAATTGTACTGGGATGCTTTTGGTCAGGGAATTGGTGCTGGTGGAGTTTGCATTATCACTGAGGATGTAAAAAGAAATTCTTGTGAATATTAAACATGAAATATGTAATTATGATAGTAAATAATATTTAATCATACAGAGTAAATGTAAGTAAATATAAGAAGGCCTGTACCTTTTTCCAGTAATGGTGATCAAAACAGTGTCATTCCACTCTCTCTCAGTCATGATGTGGAAAGAAGTTTTAAATGTTGCCTTCACAGAAAAAAATACTATAATGTTAGATTATATTCAATGAGAAAATTACTACAGTTTCAAAGCTTCAGGTCACAGCTCTTGATTTATGCAACTTTACTTCTGCCAGCTATAAGAGTGGCTGGCTGCAGTATGACTCACAACTGATCTGCTGCGATACACAGGAAGGCTGATACCACATATAGTTTTGTCGAGGACTCCTTCTAGACCATTACAGCTGTGGGGTGTTGATCTTGTCGCCTGTTTTAAGAAAGAAACGTGTAAATTAAGACCCTCAGGGAATAAAAGCTTTCAGTTTGGATTCAATGCTATGGCGTTTGTGTGAACATGACTGTAGTTTGGTATGGTATGTTTATGTAAAGTTTAAAGAGAGAGATTTCCAACAGTATTAGTTCTTAGGGTTTGATTATTGATTCATATTGATGAAAAACACTCCTAAAAACCCACATCCTGCATGAGTTTCAAATCCGCCAAAGATTTTCTGTTCCATTTCCTCTGCGCGTTTAAAGGCACAGAAATTTTTGCGAAAATGTGTGAAAGAAAGCTTTGCAGTAGTTGTGCAATTGACATAAGCAGGGGTTCATTTAATAAATGTCAGTGTTTTTCTGACAGTTTTTACACGTAATAAATTTGCCAAAAAGTGCATTATATATTAATAATCTGATCCGTTTACATGCAGTTTAAATAAAAGGGCAGAGACATGACAGGGTGTTTTAGTAATAGCGTACTGGGAAGAGAGTGCCAACAACCAACAGCCTACTTCCCTTGAGTCCGACTGTCTTCTATTCAACTCCACAACCCCAGCCAACGCTGACTCAAGTGACATCACTTGAGGTAATTTATCAGACTTTGTTCAGTTCCCTCTGAAGCTATGCACAAAAGAACTTATCTAACTTTTTCACATATGCAGTAGTACTCCCCAAGATCTGCAAACAGACTTTGATGTGTAAAAGTGCCCTTTTAACAAGTAGATGCAGGTGTATATAATGCCCAATAAGGGGTGACGTGACATAGAAGTTAATTTTTTTTGTCACCTCTGTAACAGTCATCATAGAGAAGGAGAGTCCTGGAGGATAGTGCATTGAAAGGCTGGTGTTGTACGAGTCATCACCATGATTCGACAGTTTTATAGACAGGTTGAAGTAGTTATCTTCTGCCACCAATAATGTCTGGGTCCTAAGAGAAAGAGAGTACTTCTTACATTTTGGTCATATGATGTTAAGATTACAGTTGCTGTGCTGTGTTTACCAGATATACGTACATTAAGATGAAATCCACCTCAAGTTCAGCAATACAGGTGTCATTTTTTCTGCAATGCTTTTCAAAGGGAATCTGTAAAAAGATAAAAGATTTTTTGACATGTCATGCTTGAAAATACAGAGAAAGCCAGATGGTCAAAGTGGTGTAAACAACACAGGATTCCTTTGCAACACAATAGACGAACAACATAGGTCTTGTGCTTAGGCAACTTTAAATACATAGAACAGTGCTTGCAATCAATGGCTCCCAGCTGATGATGATGATAATGTGACTGACATATAACAGAAAATTGACCTGACAAGCTGTTCTGCACTGTCAATCTACCACCGAACTTAACCTGCCAGTTATCAGCCATGCAAAGAACAATGACCCACTCCCACTGTAGATAAAGGGCTAATTCTAAGGTAACAAAAACAAAATTTTTAGGTGATTATACATTAATGAA